AAATAATCAGAGAGGGGTACAAAACAAGTCTTGAGCAAGAGAAAAAGAGGTTTAGTGGAAGAGACGTGGATGAAAACAGATGAGCCGGAGCAGAAAGACAAATGAGAAAGAGCTGGAGAAACAGAGAGGAAAGTAGAGAATTTAGTGATAAAGATACAGACAAACAGAGACAGACAGTGAGACAGAAGGAGAGGGTTATGAAAGTGTGTACTTGTGAGAGAGAGAGATAGAAGGAGGGCAGAGAAAGTGTCTGACAAAAGGCTTTTGTTTTGAAAGTGGCCATTTTGAATCTTCTCCTGGTTCCGGATGGCTCCACTTCACTGTGTCCCAGCCTAGTTGTTTGGCCTAGTTTCTCATTAAGTCTCCATTTATACGACGACAGCGTTTACTCTGTGTCGGCCCGCTCACTATTTATGGCAAACATCATTACGGGTTCCTGGAGACGAGGCGCAGCTTGATGCCACGCTGTTGAAAAGAGTTTCTCTCTCGAGGGCAGCGCACGATCCTGTAACATTTGTTCTTTGTGCTAATACGTGTTTAAGCCTGTTAAATACACTTTAAATACGTGCCAACCATTTTTTAACAAGATAAGACCCTCTGACATTCAGGTTGTGACTCAGCTGCCAAAACAGCTACCAATTTAATGAAAGAGAAGAATAAATTAATTCTCAATGTGTCATTTGACTGTCAGAGAATATAACGCGACAATGCTCTTCTGCAGCCATTTCTCAGATCTAATAAATTGTCAAAAAGGACAAAAATGTAAGGTTATTTTACAAGGATGGATAAGCAAGTGTCTTCTATCTTGTTTGTAATAAGTTTACAAAAGGTCTGATCTTCAAGAAACTTAGCTAAAAGGGTGAAGCATAAGCCAAGGAAGAACCCATTACAATTTGGAGCAGATAAGAATCACGGGACTGATTCACAAATTCATTTTCACTTCCATTAACATCGGGAGATAGGATGTAGCCTTGTCTGTTCTCCCTGAGTGCCCTTCTAATTGTTAACTAAGATTAATTAGCGTTGATTGATTAACCAACTCCGGCAGGTTTTCCGCTTGTGGCTTATTGATTTCTGTGCTGTGCGAGTATTAACTGAAAAGTGTTGGTTGACATTTCAGTTTAGTGTGCAACAAGATCAACTAGAAAATGCATTTCCTGCAGAAAATGCGTGCGAATGCTGTAAACTGTGAATTAATTTAGCTGAAAATGCAGAAAAAGCTGAATATGTTATTAGCTGAATGGTAGCTGCTTTTAGCAAAAAAATGCAGAAAAAGCTTAATATTTAAAAGAAAAGGTTTAAAAAAACATGTATAGCCTTGATGTCCTGAAATAGCCGAATAATGTAATAGTTGAATGGTTTCTGCAGCTGAAAATAGGCTGAAGGAGTTAAATATCAGATGTAAGTAGTAGTGAATGAATTTGTATTAAGATGAGAAAAGAAAGTAAAAAGGCTTGGGAAAGCAGCAGAATATTTGAACTACAAACTTTTGAACTAACTTGATGGTGAATTATCTGTCGCCATGGCAACGGCATTTGATGATACCCCATAATACGCTTAGATGTGTTGATGGCTGCATCGTTACCAAACCTGTGAAGTTTTGGGCCATTTCGAGCATTTTCACTGAAGTTATGAGAAAACCGTGTTTCATGGTGTTCATTGTGTTGCCATGGCAACGGCATTTGAAGAAATCTCAAAACTGTCCCGTAGATGTCTTCACGTTACATTACATTACGAGGTTACATTACTCTCTCTCTTCTCTTGATCACCCTCTCTCTTCTCTTGATCACCCTCTCAATCTTCTATCGCCCTCTCTCTCTTCTCTTGATCGCCCTCTCTCTCTTCTCTCTCTCTTCTCTCGCTCGCCCTCTCTCTCTTGATCGCCCCCTCTCTCTTCTTGATCGCCCTCTCTCTCTCCTCTTGATCGCTCTCTCTCTCCTCTTGATCGCCATCTCTCTCTCCTCTTGATCGCCCTCTCTCTCTCCTCTTGATCGCCCTCTCTCTCTCCTCTTGATCGCCCTCTCTCTCTCCTCTTGATCGCCCACTCTCTCTCCTCTTGATCGCCCTCTCTCTCTCCTCTTGATCGCCCTCTCTCTCTCCTCTTGATCGCCCTCTCTCTCTCCTCTTGATCGCCCTCTCTCTCTCCTCTTGATCGCCCTCTGAGTGAGTGAGTGAGTGAGTGAGTGAGTGAGTGAGTGAGTGAGTGAGAGAGTGAGAGAGAGAGAGAGAACAAACACCTGTGTGTGTAAACCCAGAGATGAAAGGTTACCATGGTGACGACTTATGACAATTTACCCACTGCAGCACTGAGTGCCATTAAGAATGCATTGAGGTTTGTATCTGACAATTTTGCCACCTGTTAAAAAACCATGGCTCCTATCAAAAAATTACCAGACCGTGAGCATCAGGGAACCCCAATGAACTGATATATGTTGTTTTTTTTGGTTTTGTGTGTAAAATGTGGAGATGGGAGCAGTTTGTCTAAAGTGTACTTCTCTCTGTTCTGAAGAAAGTTCCGGAAAGATTTAACATGGGAATCAATTGGGAGCTAGGTGGACTTTTTGTCTCTTCATGCCCTCAAGAGGCATTTTGTTTAATATTTCTTGTTAATTTTTTTTCATTTTCCAACCTAGGAGAGGTTTTTCTACATTTTTCATGAAAAAATATGTCTGAGGAGTGTAGGGTTTGGGAATTATGGCAAGTTTAAAACATATTTGGGGGAGCACTGCTGCACTCTGTTTTGAGATCAAAGCACTCTAGACTTAACGAGCTGCTCCATCCGCACTAATGTTAAAATCTGAAGAAAGCCTCTTTACCAAGCTCCAAACAAAGTTAATTATCTCAAGAAGTGTAAAAGATATCAAAAATAAAAGTCAAGTTTGAATAGCTGAAGGTGTTGTGATCATTTGAAAGTTAGAATGAAGTGTCTAGCTGAAAGTATGTGGAAGGAGTAGCATTTGGCGCAAAGTGTAGGAAAAGAGGATTTGAAGGCATCTCCCATTGACTTCAATGTTAAAAAAAAGAGTTTAAAAAGCTGAATATTTCAAAAAGTATAAAATATTTTTAAAAAGTTGAAGGTTTCCCATCGATTCCTGAACAGGCTGAATAGTTTAATATTTGAATGGTTTCTGTAGCTGAAAATAAGCTGAAGTTATGGAGTGCCAAAGTAATAATAATTTTAAGCGGAAAGAATAAAGAAATTGAAGTACTATAGTGGAATGCTGTGGCACAGCATTCGCACTAATAATAAGGGGAAGAATAAAGATTCGAAGAACTATAGTGGAATGCTGTAAACAGCATTCGCACTAATAATAACTGTTATTTATCAAGCCTACATTTTATTGTAAGAGCTGTTTTATATAATTGTAAAATAATTATCTTAACCTGCTTGGATATGAAATTCATTCAAAAGTGTTATGATCACCGAACCTGAAAAACGGCACTATTTACTGAACCTGAAAAACGGCACAAATCTACTGTATGATGGATTACTGCTAACAATGTGATTGGGTATTTAATATTGACTCTGATCTGGTGTTACATCATCAATATACTCCATTGAAACGAAGGTAATATTTTGCACATGCGGTGTATGAAAACGCATTGTGAAAAAGTGTCTGCAGTATATTGCAGGTTTGGATTAAAAGGGTTACATCCACAAAGAGAGACTCCCACAGTAGAGACACAGACACACCATCTACTTCATACATTTACAACAGGACGATGAATAGGGCATAACCTCACTTTGCATCCACTGTGGGCTCACACACACACATACACACACACACACACACACACACACACACACACACACACACACACACACACACACACACACACACACACACACACAGGCTGTTGTGCATGCCTCCACAGAAGCACAGATAAACAGGCCCACATGCAGAGACCTCGGCCTTCTTATACAGTGAGTCACAACAGCCCGATTCATCTCCATTGATCTAAAACCTTCTCAGTATCCTCTGAGTCAGTCCTCTTGTTATTCCTTTCTGCGAGTCATCTTACATCATTCATAAAGCGGCTTATTCCACTGAAGCGTTCCTATAAATGAGATTCACTATGTTATACAACCGCAATGTCAGAGTGTTGCTTCACCATCCATCGTACAGAAGTTTTTTTGACCATCTGTTCAGAAGTTAATCAACCCGTAGAGCCCATCCATGCTTACATGCAGTAATAAAACAGATATATAGTGCTAGCTGGGATATGCTGAGGCAAAATAATTCAGCTGGGATGATTCATAGAAACGGCTTAATATTATGGGATGTCTTTCTCTTGATGTTGCTCAAGCTAATTAAGCCTTGTACCGAGCTACTCGGGTCTGTTTGAAGTATACAAGACACTCACTTTAATGGTGTGCTTTGTGCAATTCTGTGTACTTACATTACATTTGAATATGTTTACATCCCAGGCTCCTCAGATATATAGATAGGGCTTCAGCGCTTCATGTAGATGTACACACATTTCCATCTATGAGTTAATTTCCTCAAAATATCGTCCTGAAATGTATCGATTATATTGAAAATGCAGAAATTACAACCAACCCATCTCGTACTGGAGGTTAATAATATAAGATATATTTGTGCTTTTAGTCATTATGCATGATTGCTAAAGTATGTGGGATTATTTTAGCTTACGTATCATTTTGAAAAACACACATTTATGACCTTTAAATTGGATTCATTTTGGATTGGACACATGTTATCTATGTGTTAATTGCATATTACTGTGATTACAAAAACTGGCTATCAAGGACATTAGGCTCATTCCACAGGTGCATTCAGGTGGAAGTTTTGAAAGAAAATGTAAAAAGTAAATGTGGTAGTGCACACTGACCCCTACTGTTGATCACATGTTATCACCCTGTTCTGTAAAACCCACCCCATGGCTCACTGTGGTGATTAAAGTGGGAGCAGCAGGGTCACTCAGTGGTTAATGGAGACAGGAAAGGTCACTGTGTTTGTGTTTGTGGTTTTGTTTAGGATCGGAGTGCTGTGTGCCTACGCTGCCAACCAGAACCTGAGCTCTCAGGTGAAGAACATCCGGAGATTGGTGAACAGCAACATGAGGGACCTGCACACCTTCGTTAATGACACGCCAATGGTGAGACAGTAATGTAAAGTGATATTCTGGAGAAGATAAGGGTGGATTTTCTCTTTGCTTTGTGTCCTATAGCGCCAACGCACTATTAAACCATGTTAAATTACAATAAAATACATTATAACAGAACCATGGATCAGACAGGAGATGGTTGGTGTGAGAATAAAGCTCCTAGTAATGGACATTTTAGCTAGTAAAATAACTTGAGGAGCCCAGGCTTTGACATTTACTTTACTTATAGGTGTTACATTGGAACTGTTTGTATTGTTGTGATGGTCCTTTGTATATTACAGTAGGTAATTTTCTCCATTTCATTCTGACTGAAAATGAAACTGTGCCATGCTTCGGAGTGTCTCTTGCCGTCTATGACGAAACTAATAACCTCATTTTCATTTGTTTCCATTTGTAACACTCTGCTCTGCTCTCTTGTGTTTTCCTGTTTGCAGCAAATTGATTACCTAATATCCCAATACGCCACAGCCAAGAACAAAGTCATCTATGACCTAGATAGTAAGTAGACCTCCTCTGCGCCTCTGACGGTAAATTAAGAGGACAGAGACGATTCACTGAGTTCTTGCTCTCGGTCATATATCATGCTTATTATCCGAATTCACTGTCTACTGTCCTTGATTTGTTTTCATAACAGATTTATGACATAACAAGGTGTAGAAACCAAAAGCAGTGCCTGTTAGAGAGGAGTATTAATCTCTACTTTTGTGATAGTACAGCAGGCATTTAAGTTACACATGAAGTTAATAAACAAAAGGGACTGTTTGTTTGTTTTCTTCTGCTGATCTGATGCTGCGTTCTCTACAGATATAGGTCCATTATTAGGTGGAAGGATACACGATCAGCTGGATAAGGAGGTCCATCCTGCATTGGACAGAGTTCTCAATATGGCTGGAGGTACGACTGCTTATTTTTCATTTCCTCTTTATTACGATATGATCAGGTTATTGTCAGATGCAAGACACTGATGCGAAATGTTATCAAGTGACATAAAGAACCTGGCTTTTATATCAAATGTAACCCATTGTTGCACAAAGACTATATTTAGAATGATAAGGAAATGTCTTTGAATGTAATATGGCAATATTTGGGGCAAATATCTGTTAGATCGCACGAAAAATCCTACTTTTCAGGAATTTCATTTAAGAACATTAAGAAAAAGCTTACATTTGGTTTATTGAATGACTGCATAACTTTGGTACTCATCTTGTTATGTGTTCATACATAGAAATACTTGATTGTGTTCATTGTATTTTATGAGAAACAGCCATTTTCTAACTCTTTTTGAACGTCTATTTGAGACGAAATCACCTGTTCAGATTGACATATTCTGCCTTGAAAACAATATACAGTAATGTTTTTTGGAAACACATTTTCATGGAGATCAATGTTAAATATCAGAGTTAATAAAAGATGTAACTTGTAATTATCTTTTTTACTTGTTCAACATTTATACTTTATGCTTTTTTATAAAGTGAAAATCGAGAGAGTCATCAAAGGTAACAGTAACTAAGTAACTGGACAATTTACCCACAATCATGTGACCCCTGACCTTGTGACACCAGTGTTGCTCCTGTGATTTGTTCCCTTGTGATCCTCCTTGAGCACTTGGATCTGAGCATCGTCAACAACCAATTAATCTATATTAAAACTGCACTACGCGACCAAAGATATTTGGTTTTGTGAACTCGCAATCCAGAAATTATGTTAAGCAATATCAGTGACTTTGTGACTTTAAATATATATCTCATACAGACTTGTAAACTTGCATTGATTTCACCTACACAAAGCACAGATGTTTTTTTGAGTGCTTTCACCACATAAATTGTTGTAATGAAGATATATGATTTACATATATAAACCAATATGTCTCACAGTGTTGCTTAGTGCAGTTTTAAGTTAATGGCATCACCAGATCTTGCCAAAAACCCAACCCTTTTCTCTCCAATTGTGTTTCCCTGCTGTGAAGTGAGCATACAAAGTTGTGTTTGTTTGACAAGTCCGATTGCTTTAACTACATTTAACTAATATGACAGCAACCAGACTTGTTATACAACAGAAACAAGCATTCAGCAATCATCCAGAAAGTTAAGGTGGTAAAACGCTTGATTGCAGATGACTGGAAATTAAGTTTGTGTCTTATGTTGTGTCAGTCAAAGATTTAAAGTATCCGGTACGAATAGCGGTGTTGTATCAGACGTACTGCTAGGGCTTTGTAAGATTAATAATTTGAGAAAACAGTTATAATGCATTAAGCACATAGCATCCACCTGAGTACACACACTGTTTCCTCTCCAACACTCTTGTATCTCTGTTATGAATGTGCATGCCAGTGTTTTTTGCATTTTTATCCTGTTACATTTTAAAAGTCTGCTGCAGGCTTCTCTTTGATTGTTAACTAACACTGGCTGTTGTCTTGTGATGCATACAACAATTGCAGGGGAAAACGTGCCAAAAGAAATGGCAAAAATTCACATTAAAGCATTCCTGTTTGGTTATTGTTTGCTGAAAGCTGTTTGGCGAGAGAAGAGATTCACACAGACACACTCTATATGCCAAACCTAATAACAAACTCCAGGGATTGAATATTAAACTGTAAGATATTCTCGGCTCAGGGCTATAAGTGTATTTGTCTTTGCTTTTGTGTAACATGAGCCAGTATTACTCAGAGTCCATTTTTTTACTGGCCGCTAAATCTATTTGATTAGTAAAACAAAAAATGCTCCAGAAACATTGACAAAAAAGTTATTTAACCTCTTTGAAAATAATAGTGAAGTAACATACTTCCTAGTATAACATTTACATGTAATTTCCCAGGGCAGAACTTAAAGATTTAAATCAAATGTTAATTATGAAGTCATTAAGTAATCATTATTCTCCTTATGAGTCCTTTTGCAGCTGAGCTACAGTCTGGATCTCATTAAAAACATTTCTAACAACTGTTTTTAATTAAAATTGTTACCTTGAAAACTAGGTTGGCTAATGAGAAACTGAATAGATTATGCTTGACAATCCAGCTGTATCAACAATGGCTCAACTTAGTAAAACAATTTGAAAGAACAAGTTTCTAAAGAAAACAAGGGAAATTATCTCACCCTCTATTGTTCTATTTTTCACTATTTTGGGAGGAAAAATTGTGTTAAGAGAGTGTTTTGTTTTATCAGCTATGCGAGAGACAAAGGAGGCTCTGGAGAACGTCAGCGTGGGTCTGGAGGTTCTCCAGGAAGGAACAGGGAAGCTCAACTTCAACCTGAGCCTGGTCCGGACCAGCATCAACCGGACGCTCAGCGACCCGGGCTGCCACGACGAGGAGTCGGACGCCACCTCCGCCCAGCTGTGCCGAAACATCCGCCAGTCCCTGTCCCAGCTGCAGATCGGAGCCAACTTCACACGGGTACTAAACTCAGAGCTAATATGACTTTGTTCTCACTGTACTACAATTTTTTGTTTACACACTTGCACTAATGTACATTCCCAAAAATATTGAAGTGACTGTTATTTCGTATATATTGATTGTTGTGTTTTTATCTTAAAGGTGGGGTAGGTAAGTTTGAGAAACCTGCTCGAGATACACTTTTTGTTATATTCCATGGAATGCTCTTAACATCCCGATAGCAATGAATATCTTAAGTGCTTTGACAAAAGATCCATTAAAAAATGTCATCTGTGGAAGCCGTAGTACTGTAAAAAGCACGACCAATCATCTGAGCCGGCCCGGCTAAAATAACTGGATGGCCTACCTGCCTGTCAGCTTTCCATCTGGGCACAAACTTATCTCGTGCCCTCATTGGTCATGTGCGCGTTCGTGTGTGTTGGAGGAGGGGCTCTGTAAGGAAGTGGCAGATTTTTTCCGGCTGTGTATTTTCAAATTCTATCACACTCGAGCCGGTTTCTCCAAAATTACCTACCCCACCTTTAATGTATGCATATGTATAAATGTGTCTGATTGTGTATATATAGGATATACATATTTTATGCATATTTGTATTTTTGTAATCGGGATTTTGGGAAACGGTATTTCGATCTCTCTGACTGTACACACAAACTGAAAAGTTGACTTTGACTTTGACTGAATTTCACTAAATGGTTGCTGAACTATTCAGATTTAGCTCCTCCACGAAAACAATGTTCTCAGCCATTAGTCTGATAACTTAATTACGACTGAATCTTGAAATACTGTCTACACAAACTCATTTAGCATTAATGTATATTAGGAAAAGGACAGGGAGGACAGAATTGTTGATTGTAAAATGTTGATGTATCTCTGTGAATGTGAACTGTATATAATTGCTTCTGTGTCTGTTTGTCTTTCAGCTACCTAAAGTGAACGATCAGCTGGAAAAAATGAACGATGTAATGAGAACGGACCTCAGTGCGATCGTCCAGAAGGTGGGCCTAGAACATAAATCCATAGATATTCTTACATTGTCATGTTATTGGCTCGTTGGGATTTATTTAATGTGCTTGTTTCAACACGTTTTTTAAGGTGGTTTGTGTACTTGTGCCTCAGTCCGTGTTTTCCAACATTGGAACAAAATGGACCAAAAATTCCATGTTCAAACACGTTGTCATTTTTCTCTCACAGGGCTACTCCTCTTTGAACGACACACCAAATATGGTGATTGAACAGACCAGAAGTGTTGTTGAGAGTAAGTGTTATTTTACACGACTAAACTGTCTTCTTAAAGCAAAACATTTCAGTTGTGACTACACCTAAATAAACGACTGAGATGTTTTACTTCTTCGTACATCTATTGTATTCTCCTACCTTGAGAGTTTGCGCAACATAAGATATATTTTAAGTTAGAATGTGCACTTAGCTTTCCAATTCAAATCAAGTCCAACTTAAAATGCACTCCATCTTTCATTTGTGTAACGTTGAATTGTTTAATATTAAGCAATCTTTGAGTGTGTTAAATTGGAAGTGTAGCTGGCGGCTTTAATACTTTATCTATTATCTTAAAGGTGGGGTAGGTAATTTTGGAGAAACCAGCTCGAGATCACTAGAATTTGAAAATACACAACCGGAAAAAATCTGCCACTTCCTTACAGAGCCCCTCCTCCAACACACACGAACGCGCACATGACCAATGAGGGCACGAGATAAGTTTGTGCACAGATGGAAAGCTGACAGGCAGGTAGGCCATCCAGTTATTTTAGCCGGGCCGGCTCAGATGATTGGTTGTGCTTTTTACAGCGCCACAGCTTCCACAGATGACATTTTTTTATGGATTTTTTTGTCAAAGCACTTAAGATATTCATTGCTATCGGGATGTTAAGAGCATTCCATGGAATATAACAAAAAGTGTATCTCGAGCCGGTTTCTCAAACTTACCTACCCCACCTTTAATATATGTTTTTTATTGAAACTGATGGATTATTGATGGCTGTGTCTCTCAGGTGTGCAAGGTTTGATGGACGGCATTGGAAATAACATCAGCAGCTTCTCCAAAGTGTTCCCTGTGCAGAGTTGCCTTTCCAACTTCACTATCGCTATCAGCCATGCCCATGCCAAGATTGAGGAGTACTACCCTGAAATTGACAAACTGGATTTCTACAGGTGAACTCACCTGTATTCTTAAAACTGTAAGAGTAAAACAAAGGTAGAGAGAAAGAAAAACATACCTTAAACTGTAGAAAGTGTAAATACAGAAATGTGGGCTCTGTGTCAATTGCTTGTGTTTTAGGTTCCTACTCTCTAGCAGACTCCTTTTAGGAACTACAGTAAAAGTAATGTGTGCTATAAAAGCTTGCCCTAATATTTTGCATTAATAAAATATTCATACGCGTTCAACATTAATTCAGTTTAAAATATGCACTCGAGGGAAATCTAAGATAATTTAGGAGTCATTTTATTTTCCCGCATCAAGCTTATGTGCCGTTTTATAATAATTGGTTTTTAGCTTTGGCTTCCTTGTCTTACTCAAACACATTTTTCATCCTAAGTTTGTCACTTTAAGGCCACTTACTGTGAAATATCTAACTGTGTTAATCCACCTGCTGCTTGTAGGTGGATTGGCTGTATTGCTCTGTGCTGTATGGTGGTCCTGGTCCTGGCCTTCAACTACCTGGGCCTGCTGTGCGGCACTCTGGGATACGACAAACACGCCTCACCTACGACACGAGGCTGCATCTCCAACACAGGAGGAACCATGCTCGTGGCGTGAGTCAACTTTAAAACTGAAGGAGGAGGTTTTTGTCTAAAAATAAATCTTTGATGATGCCAGGGTTCAGGTCACTGCTAGAAATGTCGTACAATTTATTGCTAGTTAGTGCTAGTGCTAGTTATTCTCAACAACAACTTATATTTCTGCCACAACTACTGCTATGATTTATCGTGCATGTAAGCTACAGTACTTCAGACAAGTGTAAAGACCAAAGGATTTATTCAGAATCATAGAAAATAACAAAAGAGCATTTAGGAACAAAGTTGACCAAGATATTTTGTTGAATGCAGAACCAGAAAACAATAACTTTAGTGCATAACATAACATTGTTTAAGGCAAAATAATGTTATTTACTCGAACAGTATATGTTTCCTACATGATAAGGAAATCCCGTATTTAGGATTTAAAGGGTTCTCATTCAAAGTGGAACAAATGTTTTTGAATTTCGAAGCATAAACCTTTGACAAAGTATTCTAGATTCTTATTTTATATCTAATTTGAGATACTTATTCACATCAAAATGAAACCTCCGCTGCTCCTTTTTAATTCCCCTCTTTCCACCCATTCCAGTGCTGCTACACCTCCATCTCTGTTTGTTCACTACTGTTTCTGTACCTGACAGCCTGTGTGTCCTCCTCCACAGCGGCGTTGGATTCAGCATCATCTTCTCCTTGGTGCTGATGGGAGTGGTGACTGTCATGTTCCTGCTTGGAGGAAACATGGAGAAACTTTTCTGTGAGCCTTTCCACACCAAAGAAGTCTTCAAGGCAAGTCAGGAGTCTCCGAAAAAAAGAAGCACATTCAGAACCCTTCAATGTGCAGGAAGAAAATGTACAGGGTATCTCCATTAGGGATTTTACCTAAAAACTATAAAAAATCATATATGTCTGATCGTAGCATTGAAATAAATGTATGGGTTATTAGTGCCCTAAACTTGTTGAACATTTTTTACAGAACAGAAAAATTGTTTAAATATTATTTTGGTATCATTTCCTTTTGTGCCTCTCTCAGCTTTCTTGCTGTTCCAGTTCAACAAGGTGTAATAAAGGGATCAACATAAAGCCTTTCTTTCTCAAACTGGATACAAAAATATTAGTTCGGACTAGTTCAACCATTATGACCGTATTTAATGATTTAATTTAGTTTTACCACAGCTATACTGCCAGGAAATAAATGGATTGTAACAAGAGATTTTCCATTTTAGTTACAAAACAAAATACAGGAAATGTGAAGCAAGAATGCCGCTTTGTTTGGGTTTGAGTGTGTCTTGAAGTATCATTACATTACATTACATGTCACTTGTTAGACTCTTTTATCCAAAAACTTACGTCTACGACTTGCATACTGTGGGCATTCCCCACAGGAGCAACTTTTTTTTTGGGGTGAAGTATCTTGCCCAGGGACACAACGACATGCTGACTGCAGTGGGGTTTGAACCTGTGACCCCCTGATCCGAACACCAACGCACAACCCACTGCACCACACGCCTCCCAGTATCCTAGCCTTTAACTAATCAGGCCACACTAATGATTGTTTTATTTTCTTGCCATGATAATTATTGATCACTCTTCCTCTTCCTGGCTTTCTCATCCACCAGGTTGTGGACACGCCATATCTGGTCAACCCAGAGTGGAAGAACTTCATCCCGGGCTACATGTACAACGACTCGGACCTGGAGCTGACAGCAGAGAGCTTGTACAGGCAAGGAACAACTTTTATGTATTTAGATGACCGTTTAATGTTTGCCACCTTTCAGAAGCAATCCTTAGTTGATTATTATATTCCTCACAACCTACTCCACATCTGTCTTCTCTGCATTTCCTATTTAGATCTGACTAGACGGCTAAATTAATGAAAAAACAAGCAATTTATTCAATAATAAGCTGTGGAATTACTGGATGAACAACATGCTGCTTATCATTTAGTTGGGTCAGACATCAACCATGCATCTTATGTTATATCCATTGATGGGGATGCAACTGAGAGGCAGAGATTGTATTAACCTTGAGAAGTTAATTAGCATCATTTTTCTACAATATCTGTGCTGCTTTTCTTCAGCCTCTTTCTCAGTAGTTACATCAGCTTTCATCATCTCCTTTCAGTGAGAAGCTGCATACTCAGTAAAGGGTATGGGAGTCTTTATACTTCCAAATAGAGCAGTGTTTCTTTGACCTGTCTTTTCTTTGCCAGTATTAGCAAGCAGTGCTAATACTGTGTACATGATGTGAGTCTACATGGTATGCAGCTGCCTAATGTTATCGTGGGACATTTATCTGTGTTATTTTGGCAAATATTCCAGGCTTTTTGTGTAACGGTACAATGTTTTCTGTCAGGGAACATGCCAATGTCATGTACTTCCAGTCAGTTTCACTTGGTGGCAGCAAATGTTTTCAATCAAAAATGATTAAGTTGACATTTCCTCTCTCTTTTCTCCACTATGTCTGTGTCTTTCTTAGTACTTGCAAAGAGAACAAAGGCATCTACTCAGCCATGCGTCTGGACAAACTCTTCAACATCTCCTCCTTCCTGAACTCTACAGTGGTCAGTAAACTCAAGACACAACATTAAAACATTCCTTCATATGCAGTGACTAACCAAGTATCTTTATAATACAAGTATAAGATTACGGATGTATTTGCAAGTTACAAACGATTCAACAAGTTCTGGTGTCACTTATTTGGCAAATGTACAAACAAGATACTTCTCAATACATGTATGTTTTAAATAAGCACTCGGTAAGGGAGTTCTATATTGTACTGTAGTTCTGATTTATCTGAATCTATGTTGGTTTTGTAAGGTATACTATACTCTGCAACTTGATATAACAAAAGTATTGGCAGGATATACAATAAAGAAGAAACTACATTCTCAAACCAAAGGTAGAATTAACAATTTGAACATGTAGCTAACAGTGATGTAGTGTCCAGAAATCTTCATCCTTGGCTGCAGGATCTAATTAGCATTACCTAATGATTTTTTTGCTGCCAAAACAAAGTCTGTGCTGACGGTCGATAGCTTTGACATGCCTCAGCCCTTACCTCAGTGTACGCCTGAGACATTACACTGATGTATGTTTCTATTTCTTCTTGGCTGCGAGCCAGCAACTCCTGCCTGCCTGAGACATTCAGTACTTTCCTGTCAGTTGGCAAAACTGTCTTGGCTTGTCCAAAACAACAGCTGGCATTCCCAATGCTGCTTCTCTTTCTGCATATTGATCATTTATCTTCATTACATGCCGGCACGATACAAGTTCAAAGTGTGTCATCCTACATGATAGGATTTGAGAAACAGTTATTTAATTGTTTGTGCAAAAGCTATAGTGAAAAATCCTATGAAATATTGAGTTCCCATTCACCCACAAAGAACAGTCGCAAGACTCGCAACATGTTGGCTTAAAACATTATTGGATCTTTGAAATGATTTCATCTTTTCAGATATTGAATAGCTTTCTATTCCACATTAAAATATCCCCTTTTTTTCAATCTGAGCAACAACATACATTACATTCCCATGGTGAAACATGGTTCTCAATAAAGTCACTGTGATTATAGAGATATTGGTCTAATTCTTAAATCGGTCTTAAAGGTCCCATGTCATGGCCATTTCTACTGATCATAATTCCATTGTTGAGGTATACTAGAATAGATTTATATTGTGCAATTTTCCAAACTCGCATTGGTTTCTCATACAGCATCTCTGTATAGTATGTGTATTCACTCTCTGTCCTACACGGCTTGTTGGAGCTCCTGCCCCCCCCCTGTGAGCCCAGTGTGCTCTGATTGGTCAGCTCGCCCACTCTGTTCTGATGAGTCCACCACCGTTACAGCGGAACATCAGTGACTATGTGTTACAATGGCGTTAGCAACCAGAAAATGACACCAGTAAGGACAAACAGATGAGAATGCTGCGTGGGGTCTGGGTGCCGTGTTGGCGGGATGTTGCGCGGCTTGCTGCTGCGAGGAGCGGACAGTGTGAGCTGGGGTCATTTCCTGCTTGTTGCGTGGGGTCTGCGAGACAGCGAGACATCGGTGAGGCTCCACTACCCCCCGAGCATGGTTGCCTGGTTGCCCTTCTGGTTATTCTCCGCGGTGGATTTAGCAACATGTAGTTCTCCATGTCCACTTGTTGCTGATGGTTGTGGTAGAGGAGCTGTAGATTTTGCACTAACATCTGTATCATGGTCAGTCGCGTCTGGAGCACGACCACAACCCTGTGATCCGCCATTGTTGTTGTTGTTGGCGAAACGCATCAGCAATGACGCGGGGGTGAGCAGGAGAGGTGGGGAGAGGCGGGGCTATGATCGTATAGGGCACTTTGGGAGCCGTTATCAAAGTGTATCGTTTGAGGGCTCCGTTTCCGCGGCTCCTTGTCGGCCTTGTGTGGACAAACCGTCTATACGATAAAGAACCCGTTTCGTCTCCGTGTGGACGGGGCCTAAGGTTGTTCTGACTTTACTACCCTTTGTGTAGCTTAATCTGCCAATTAAATGGATTAACTGATAAAACATTTAAATTAATTCCATCTTTTAAAGAAAAGAAAATAACTCAGTACAATCCAAAACCATTGTCAGCCCTGGGGTAAACTCCTGTTTCGGCATTTAAGGGTAAAGTTAAGAGAAACATTTTAGGAAACAAACATCTCCATTGCCAACATTTTTGTTGTGTTCTCTTCAAAGTGCCATAAAAAAGCTTGAAATTACATATTACTTTTCAAGCCTTTTGGAAAATCATATTTTTCACCATGGATCTCTTTATGGTTATGGCTTTCATAAACGACAATACAATAAACCCTTATTGACACATAAAGTCATTGTAGAAATGTTGTTTCATGTCTGCCCAGGAATAGATGTCCTCTCTTGGTTTAATAACTTGGTTGGGTAAGAAATGTAAGAAATGCATTCCAATTTGTTCATTCATGTAGCAACTTTCAACAAGTCAACAAAAGTGCTTTATGCATTAATAAGGACTGCAATTAAGAGTTACAAGAATGATTTGTCCACACAAACAACCTCAAGAAACGTAATTCTGGTATGCTATGTGAAATACTATCCAAACCACATCTTTAAAATTGTTTGTCACCCTAGTACTAACGTTTGCTTAGCATTTTTGTAAGCCTATCATTATGTTAACAATTTGTATATATTCACCCTGTTCAAAGACTAAAACTGTAACGTACATAGAAACCTTGGTGAGAGATGTGAGATGTTGGGTTAAGACTATTTGAGAATCCAAAATGTAAAATAACATAATCAAGCCGTAGTGTTTTACATGCATTCCTTGTTAAAACGGTTCCTTTTTGTTCACAGTTCACTAAGGATGTGGTGAGTCAGCTGGAGAGCGTTAAGATCGACCTGAGGGGGATAATCATGTTGGAGGCCGAGGGGAAGCAGAACCTCGTGGATTTCTCTGACGCAGGGCTGTCAGAAATCAACTATGCAGACTACCTGGAAGAGGTGACACATAATGCATAACATAACCATTAGGGGTGCACGATTCAGGAAATCTCACGATACAATTCGATTTCTTGGGGTCACGATTTGATTCAAAACTATTCGCGATTCAAAAAAGCTCAGGAGTCCGCCCTGTGAGGCATGAAGAGCGGACAGAGTGAAGAGGATTTCCTGGTGTGTTTCCCTTGATGCTGCATAAAGTCTAAGTGCCATGTTAGCGGGACATTACGGAGCTCACGCCGTAGGAAAAATGGAAAACAGCGTTGCGGCAAGACTGAAAAATGTGAATCGATTCTTGGATTTGTTTGCGCACCCCTAATAACCATTAACTGCTTACAATTACCATGCTTACATTTTGGATTCTTTATTATGAACTTTTTGCTACTTTGTAATCGAACTGCTGCACCACAATTTCTCTAAAGATTTATCTAATCCAAAAACGTAATAAGTATAAGCCCAGACAGATCACACTTAAACTGTGCATGATTCAAATTCAAATACAGAACAAATTAACTGAAAACAGAAAAATACATTCACATAATAACTATATATGATCTGTATGGAAATTACAAAGTAAAAGTCAAATATAAAAGGTAAGAAATATTCTGAAACGTTACTTTAGTAAAAGAAGCAATACCACATTGTGAAAAGTAGTAGTTATTATTCAAAGATATATATATACCCAGGAATATTTTTTCACTGATGCCTTTATGTGTAATTAGCAAGTTTAAGTGAAATATAAAAAAAACATTGTCCCTGTGATATGCAGTGGAGTAAAAGTATAAAGAAGCATTAAATGGAGATATTCAAGTAAAGTAAAAGTACCTCAAATTGTAAGTACTAAGAGTAAATCTACTTCCATTCTACCACTATAGGCTCTGACGTCAATTCATTAGTGATATCTCTTTATACATACCAGTTCAATGAAAGACCAGGGTAAATATTGATAACAGATTGTTCTATACATATACTATAATGGTATATGTACTTTAAAGGACTGTTACCAGAAATAGCATGGTTCCTAAGGGTCTGTTAAACCCCCCCCCCCCTCCCTGGCTGTCAGTTAACATACAGCAGGCAGCCATGCTTTACCCAATAGGAGCTGCGACCTGACACAGTACACTGGGTTCTGTTGAGCATCACTGAAGCCTGATTATCCAAAAGTATTCCTGCCAAGGCAAAGAGAGCGTAGGAACAAGCCGGGACTCGGCACTCCCGTCTTCTTCGACACTACCTGTCAGGTTCACTCTTCTGAGAGCAAAGAGAAGAGGTTGAAGGACTCCATTCAAGTGCACCACCTGTCCTGATTCACAACTCACTCTCAACAGTCAGGAGGAGAGGTTTGAGGTTCTTAAACTTAGATAATAATAGTGTATTATGAGAGAAACCCTAGTAGAAATATATTACAGAGAGGACCCTTACAATTATGCAAGGTTCCAAACCCCTTGTCTTGGCCATTTCCTGCAATATCTATAGAACATTTAATCTAAATAATCTTTTACTTTTTGGCAAATTAATTACAATTGAGTGTTGGGAGGTTAAAAAAAGAGATTGTGTATTATTCAGATGATCAATAGTTCCTTTCTTTTAAAAAATATTATGGTTTTAATCAAAAACTGGTACATAGAGACAACATTTCTCTGCTGCTGAACACACGGATTTGATCTTGTGCATAATGTAAGTGACTTTTTGTGTTAAAGGAACTTTACAGGAGGTTTAAAGAGGTTACCTAAAGTGATAGCACCATGTTGGCTTTTTATTTATTATTTAGCCACTACTATGTTTTCATTCCTTCTAGTTATTTGTACCTCCTGAGCACATGAATGGATTGCCTCCGAGTTGAATAAGTGTTTAGTGCTTAAGCATTTGCTTCCAAAGGAAATACTGGAGCAGTGAAGTGGTTTTAAAATGCAACGTTGCCCTATTGATGTGTGTTTTTACTACAGCAGCTCAGGCTAATTATGTCTCAAGTTAACAGTCATTCCAAGGAGCAGTGGGATTTTTGAAATGTAAAAGCAACAAAATTAAGTCATTTTTTAAATTTGTTTTATAGCAGTATGCAGCTAATAATGGATGATAGTCTCTAAGTGTTTTGCCCTCCAAAATTACCACTGAAAGAAGATTATTTATTTCTCTCTTTATACCCGCGTACCTTCAGGTCAACAAAGGAGTTACAGTGATGGACCTGCTCACATATGCCAGAGAGCTGGAGGCGCAGACAGACCTCATGGTAAGAACACCGTGGTACTTTTTTACGTTACATTACATTTAGCTGACACTTGTAAGGCTAACATACACACATCTACATGTTTCTTTACAGATACATCATTAGATTAACTTGTTTCTCCGCCTGTGTGTGTGTGTGTTTCAGCCCAGAGGCGGTCTGCAGAGCTCTCTGAAAGGTCACATCGGCACTCTGCGGCAGATCCACGCTCAACAGATCATCCCCATGGAGCAGGCCATGGTAATGCCTCATTATTATTTTTCAAGCTACTGAAACCGCTAAAAACGTTGTAAAAACAGCAGCTTTTATTGTATTTTCCATCTAAATATGTGGCTTAAATATGTTGTTTTACGACGAGGGAAACAATGAACTGGCACGATATCAGGGTAATACTATTTGCAGCTAACATAGAAGTGTTTATTATTCAATACGAATGTTTCTCGTTAGAATGTTGTCGAGCTTGGCAGTCAGTGTTGAAGAGGAATGGACCACATTTCTTAACCACAGTGGCCTTAAAAGACCAGAGAGCAATGCAATGCCGCGGGGCATGTTGTGTGCGACTGAGGGATGCTTTTTCTTGTAAAAAATGTGCAGCTCTTATTCTACTATTGCTGTAAGGGCAAGTAAATGCTGTACATTCTTACAGATTCTTAGCTTGGAGGGTTGCTCGGGGACACACTGGGAAAAGAAGGAAAAATATGAAGCAGGTTGAAGAAAAATATGACAAAAAAACAGAACTAAAGAATGCAAAACTGGATTTGACCTTTTAGGGTAAACTGTCACTGAAATGTACTGTATGACACATGATTTGATATATAGAATAGTAAAGTAGAATACGTTTTATGAATTGCCAACTCCTGCCAATTCCTGCCCAACAGATTTGAAATCAAAAATAGAATTTAAATAATATTGATAATAATATAAATATATAAAAACTAGATCAAATGACTATTGTTTATATAAAAATGACAATCATAGCGACAAAGTCAGAGAATTGCTTGGAGGGAGCATTTTAGTGTCTTTGAGCTCATTGCTTTGGTTTTAGGGCCTGTAACTTTACAATACAGCAAAGCCTTATTATAATTGTAATTATAGCTCTGTATACATATATCAAATAAAGATGTGCGTGTGTAGGACAAAATTCATAGAATAAAAAGGTAGAAAAACAGTATTGCATGTACGTAATGTAACAGTCCAGGCTTAACAGCAACAGTATTATGATAGTAGGGCGAGATGGTGGGGACCAAAAACAGAGCAACAAGAGAGAGAATTTGGACTTATATACATTCATCAGGTGGCCAGAAACACAACTCTAAATTATCGCTAATGTTGAATGTGTGTAAATTAGCAGCTAAACATTTTACAAAGTGATGTGTTCACAGCTTGTTTCACTGCCAAAAGGTGCCCCAAAAATTCATTAAAGTAGTCATAAAGAAACTCTACATCAGAATGCAGTCAGAGGCCGTTTCTCAATGTCGAGTAGACCTGCTGCAGAGCCACTATTTCAAGTATACTACGTCATCGAGTGGCGCCGAAGGACTGTTTAAATGCATGTTAAATGCCCAGCATTCGGCGACACTCGATGACGTAGTATACTTGAAATAGTGGCTCTGCAGCAGGTATACTCGACATTGAGAAACGGCCACAGTCATTGATGTGTTATCCATGGGCTAATGCTAATTCAAGGGAATGATTACATATTAGACAAACATATTCATATCATCAAACGTGGAGTGTTTTGACCCTCAGGCCACGTTCAATCATCCCATGTTGTGAAAAACACATTAAATATAATGTTTTATTTTCCCTGTCAATACTATAATATTGAATAACACCAGGGTTTTACAGCTACTGGACATTCAAACAGTGACGCGCTTCAACACGACTTTTACAACAGATTCTTATGTTTTTCTTTTTCCACTTTCCACTTCAAGAAATATGTTAGAGCGAGGGTAAGCTGAAATGTGTCCATACCATGTATTTAGTGTCCCCATTCATTATATGGATCATTTAGAGATATTGTATCTCACAGATGACATATAGTAATCTGATAAATCTCATTCTGGGTGGTATTGTAGGATATTGTGTGTGCTCGTGTTTGTATTTACATAAACGTATCCTATTCAATGGTGTTAATCATGGTTTTGTACCAAAATATTCAATGATATCCACTTCAAGAAAGAAATGCTGGTTTAATCCAGTTATTCATTTGGTATAAAAGCTCTGTTCTCTCCATCATTTTTGTGAAAATCAAGAAAATATTCATAATTTCTTTCTTGTGGATATTACATTTTGGAGCACAAATCTTCAGCATGCTTGTTATAAAAGCAGAATATTGTTCATCAAGTGTTGTTATTACCTGGTCTCCCTTTGTGTCTCTGGTGTAAACGGCCCCCAAGTGTTTCCCCTGACTTTTCAGGTTTCTGGTGTTAAATTGTACGTTTCATTTTCTTTTTAAAGAGTGCATTGAACCAGAGTATGAGGTTCCTGGAGAGAACAGCTTCAGACCTGCCAGTAAGCCAACAAGCTCTTCAGTATAAATTAGAATTATAGGCTTAGATTAAAGTCAAAACTGATTAAATCTGTAATTTCTTCCCTGCAGAACAAAGTTTTAGCAGTTCTTGAGGCGATTGAAGCGGCCCAGTACCTCATCTCCCAGAATGCAACACAATTAATCAATCAGGTAACGCATGGATACCTTACTTTGTTCATATGTTCTGTTGATCTGCACCTCACATTTTGTCTTAATCTATTACAGGAAACGGGAAAATACACAGCCACCATTGTTGGCTACTTCAATCAATACATAGAGTGGGTCAAAACTTCAGTAAGTGTTTATTTGTTAGCTTTATTTGCACATTTTTAAAACATAAAAAGGTCATAAAGAGTAAAATTAAATCTAAGAAAAATCAAATACATGTGCAGGTGAGGTAGAAACCCACTATAGGTTCATCAAAAACATATTTAAGTATACAAAATAAACATATCTTAGGTGTATACTTGAAGAATTACATTATTATATGACTTAGTCAAAACCAAACACTGTTAGTACAAAGAGAGTAATGCACTTTGCATGGTACATGAGTCAATTCAGAGAAGGCCAATATAACAATTACAACCTCTATAAATTGGAGGAATTTGCTTTGTGGCTCATTGGTTTTGGCCGTAGCTAGCTAAAGGAATTCACAACAAAGTAAAAAAACAAGAGGAAAGACACGTTTGAAGCCTGAAGCTATTTCCTTAGAGCTGTCAATAGGACATTTTTATTTCAATCACAATGTTTTTGTAGTTTTGTGAGAACACTTAAAGTACAAGGACCTACTCGGACCCATTGTGCAATGTGAAGCTAGACTTTCCGTAAGTACTTAAGAATGGTACCAAGAGAGGATTTCATCTTTTTAAGCCGCAAACAGAATTAAACATAAGAGTCTGATGTGTTCCTGAATCTTGTGTTGATGTTTACTGATTATATCTCTCTCCCTGCAGCTGGCCTTAGAGGTCGCACCGTGCAAGCCTTTCAGCAACATGCTGGACACGGCGGAGATCATTACTTGCAGTTTTGTGGTCGACTCCATGGTAATAAAATCAGGGAGAAATAACCTTTTAGATACGATTGGGAATGTTTAAAGAGGTCAGGGTGGTGCACCATAACTTTTTTTTGTATCAGGTAGATCAAAAATATGCAAGACATGAGTTGGCAAAAGTGTGAATTCGAATTTACATCTGTATTTGACAACAGTTTGTTTGTTTGAAGCTAACAATATAATTGATCATGCATCCTTCTGGAGAGATTTTCTTTATACACAATGGTCTGAAACTTCATCTAACATGTAGGCCATCAATAAATATGACTATTTTGTCAAAACAACCTTCTGAAACCGAAAGATATTGAATTTACATCATCACAAACGACAAAGAAAGAAGCTAATCCTATTCTTATAACTAGGGATAAATTGGGCAATTTTGCTGTGGAAATGACTTCCTTGATTTATAGTTTATCACAATTAAAATACTGGACTATTGGTTTGTTTTTTTTCTCCACAGAACACCTTCTGGATGGGCCTGGGCTGCAGCGCTCTCTTCCTGCTGCCCAGCATCATCCTCGCTGTGAAACTAGCAAAGTTCTACCGCAGGATGGACACAGAGGACGTTTACGACGAGTGAGTAGTCATATGTGTTACTTCTTTACAGATGCATACATTTATTTTATAGTTTAAACTGCAAAAGATGAATCTCGTTAAGACAGTGTTTACAATTGATATTATTGAATATGCTGTGGATGGTTCTTTCTCTCCAGCTTCTTATGTTCTACCCGCCTTCTGCAAGTTATATCTAGCTAAGCTGCAGAAAGAGGAATTTCACTTTTAAGTTTGTAGGTGTATAATAGACGTACTTTTGAATATAATTTAAACTTAAATTGATTTACGTTTTTTAAATCTCCACTTCTTCACACTTTTGAGTTTAGGATTCAGTGACTTCTATAATGTGTTTTTCTGTTGATTTATTTCCTTCTGCCTTTTCTCCCGTTTGTAGTTCCTCTGTTTCTGGGACTTGGCATTTTACTTTGTGATAACCATTTCTACGATTTCCATTTTCCATATATTTTTTTTATTGTTTCATCCCTCTCTGTCAAGCACTTGGCACTTTACAAAGAAACATTGACACATTTGTCATTTTACATTTCTTCTTCGTGCACCTTCTGTTCTCTCATTTAATCACAGCTTCACACAAACATGACGCAATGTCTCCATCAGTTGTCATGTGATCTGTGCCGGGTCACATGTCTGTGGTGCATTTCCATCGCTCAACATTTCAATCAAATGTTTATGCTGTTGTTTTTTGTGTATCTTTATAGCATTGAGACAATGCCCATGAAAACGTAAGACTTTTAAACCACCTCCCTCTCCTTTTCAACTTCTCTCACTCTGTGCTTTTCTCCGGATCTTGTAAATAGACTTGTTTACTAAATTCTTGGTGCTGGTTTTACGTTTTTAAGCTTGAAATTGCTCTTATGGGTGGATGGTGTGGCTTCTTGTCGTGTGCTACCTTTGAGAAGTGCCCCTTACCTTTTAATGAAAGGCTCTTGAAATCATTACCTTACAAGTCCACCTGTTTTTGTAAGTTATAGTGTAAATAAAACGCTATGGTTTATACTCCAAAAAATATTAACATTCTTGAAAAGTTTGATGACATGGAAAATAAGCATTTTACTACAAAGCTTTGATCGGCATGTCTCTTACATTACATTTTTCATCCCTTTTTTGTATACGACATTTTGTTTTCAGTATGGAAATTGGTAATAATGGTTATCATAGTGAGAGGTCACAAGGTATCCCAAATCCTATGATGACAAGGTAACCCTTAAAATAATCCTGTTACTGCATGCTATGGGAGGTGGAGGCATGCCTGGGGACGTGGGCTTCTTCACAAGCATTATGACGGACAAGTGCATGCCTTTTAGGGAGTTGATTCATTGCACACACACGTACAGTACACACACACACACACACACACGGTGGTCAGCTAATTGACAATAACAACAAAGGTGACAAGTAATGGTAGCTTTTATTAGAAAAACATAATATATGTAAGACGTTAAGAGTATTTTAATTTTAAAAAGTACTTTAAAACAGAATTAAATAGATTTTGTGAGGAATTTTAGAAGAATATTTAGACAATTTCAGAAATATGCATATTTACTTTCCTCTCTTAAGTGGATTTGTTCAACTATAGCAACAATGCGGTTCAATTTTCTGGTTTTTAGTGAAATGTCATCCATGAAATGCACACATTAGGGTGAATTGTAATGACTTTAATGGTCTTTTGACTTTTAAACTAGCAAAATACTCAACACATATTGGCTAACACACTAAACTAAGATGGGAAAATAGTAAACACGTTAAAACATCAGCATGTTAACATTATCATTGTGAGCATGTTAGCATATTGACATTTAGCAAATACAGTTAGAGTAACAGAGATGAATTAACAAAACAAAACATTGGGAATCATATCTTGTTATCTTTTAAGACAGCCGAGATATGTACTCCCGGTGCCAGTCTTTATGCTAAGCTAAGCTAACCATGTCCGTATTTAATGCAAAGCAATGAGAATAGAGGGATCTGCTGTTGTAAATTCTTTACTGAGTCTTCATGGTCATATTTTTGCTACCATTACTTCTCATTATCTTCTTTCGCTATGTTCTGCTGTGTGGTTTTCGGGGGAATCTACTAACCTACTGCATGCTCTGTATGTTCATGTGGAATGAAAAGCCTTCCTGTTTCTTCTCATTCAGAGTGAGCCAAAACCCACCGAATGTACACCTGATCATTTTGTTCAGAGAGAGGCAAGCATGTCAAGCTTTGGTGTGATGCTACAAACGCTGCTCCTTTGATTTCCTCCTTTATTAACAAAAGGTCTAACTGCATGTTGTGTATTTTCAAGTTGCATTCGGACGAGGAGACGACTGTAACAGAAGCTACTGTATAGGGAGAGAGCAAAACAGCTGGACCAAACATCTTCGCTTCAGCGTAATCTTTTAAACTCATTGAACTCGAGTTTCATTCCAAAAGCTGGAAGGCAAAACCCAAAGAGAAAATGTTTTTGGGCAATTTTTATGTTCTTTACTTGTAAAACATTTCAAAGATATAAAATCTGAAAATGAGTACAAGATGTTGGAATGACAATTACGAATCACTGTCCACAAATACCGCATGTATCCACAACCTCATTTGACCTAAGGTTAAAACGGCTGCTACTGAAACACTGACACTTACTTCAGCCTCCATTCATTTTTATTCCTTAATATTTTATATTAACCTGTAAAGAGACACAAGCAAAGTGGTCACATTCACACAACCGGAGTGAGTGAATAACATTTTGGAAGCCAGACATGTTAGAACCTGGTTAAATGATCCTTTCGTAAACCCTATTGATCAACAAACCCCACTAATGTAAACTTCATTTTATACTTTAAGACAACTCCCTACTCACTGCCCCTAAAGTGAGGATACAGTTCATCCATCGTGATGTTCATAAGCTGTTTTGCTCTCTGCCTCGTCAACCACTCGTTCTCATGAAAGAAGAGAAGCAGGCAGTGGTTGTTACGTTTTTTTATGTGGCTGTTAATGTTTTGCCCTGTGTGTGTGTGTGTGTGTGTGTGTGTGTGTGTGTGTGTGTGTGTGTGTGTGTGTGTGTGTGTGTGTGTGTGTGTGTGTGTGTGTGTGTGTGTGTGTGTGTGTGTGTGTGTGTGTGCGTGTGTGTGTGTGTGTGTGTGTGTGTGTGTGTGTGTGTGTGTGTGTGTGTGTGTGTGTGTGTGTGTGTGTGTGTGTGTGTGTGTGTGTGTGTGTGTGTGTGTGTGTGTGTGTGTGTGTGTGTGTGTGTGTGTGTGTGTGTGTGTGTGTGTGTGTGTGTGTGTGTGTGTGTGTGTGTGTGTGTGTGTGTGTGTGTGTGTGTGTGTGTGTGTGTGTGTGTGGTGTGTGTGTGTGTGTGTGTGTGTGTGTGTGTAGCATCCCTACCTATGACACTATGAACAGGTTCCCGCGGGCCTCGGCTCCTCCGAGGCACATCGACTGGTGACAGAGAGCCGGCTCTGGCTCCTGAAAGGTACAGAAAACCTGCGTGAGACCTCTGTTTACACTTTTTAATTTAATTCCTTCCTTCCAATCGTTAGTCTTTCTTTTGCACAGCCATCATCTCGTCCCGCTGTTCGTCTGTCATGAACACGTAATCTTTCCCTCTCCTGTTTTTAATCTTAGTTATTTTTAGTACTTCTTCTAACCAAACTCTTTAACACTTCTTTACAGCTTGTTTTAGTGCTGTTCTGCTAACAGTGACTTTGCAGGAAAACCATCATGGTGAGGGTTGCCAAATTTAGAATCACTAATGAACCATTAATGTCCATGCCTTGTTTGATGCTGGTTGAAAATACTGTATGTTTTCTTCTAAAAACTGCTTTATTATTTTACTGAACGTGAAATAGCATAATGTCAAGGTTACTCATAAATACATTTTAATATCTGCAAGGAAATGCATTATCCCCGGAGGACAGCAGGTTGTATAAGACTAATATAATAAAGGTTACATTTCTTCAGTTGCAAAAAGCACCACACAGTTATTGAAATTCCTCTGTGGAGCTTCAGGAAAGACTAATCTGACTGCACTCGTACGTCTGTTATTTCACAAAACAGTCAAATCTACATTCATCTCCTGGTTCATTCAAAAGAAAAGAATATGTTATGCTAATTACATTACATTACATGTTACTTGTTAGACGCTTTTATCCAAAGCGACTTACATACTCAATACTGTGGAGCAATTTGGGGTGAAGTGTCTTGCCCAGGGACACAACGACATGCTGACTGCAGTGGGGTTTGAACCTGTGCTCCCCTGATCCGAACCATTAATTATTTGGAAATATTTTTTTTTCTAGTGCCGTCACAAACTGGAACTAACACACACCATAGTAAGTATGTTTGACTAATTACATTTTCGAAATAGAAATACATAAAAGGTGTTAAATCTTGCCAAAGTCATGAACAATTCTGGGACGAGGTGTTTTATTGAGAACAAGCGATATTACCTCATGATAAGTTTTTAATTTACTGACATGAAGAGTTACGCAAAGCAGTAAAACGTTTGGTACAAAAGTGAAGCAATGCCTGGATATATTTGGTATATTTTGAGTTTACTAATCAAAACCTTTCTTTTGTTCCTTCTTTGTTCAAGCTGTTTGTTTCACGAGGCCTCGGACCAGAAGAAGTTCAATAGAAGCTGGTTTCCTTACAACAAAAGAACACACAAAGCCCTTTGGGTGTTTTTTTGTGTTATATTTAGTGATCAACTCAACCTCCTCAATCAAGCAGATCACAGCCTTCGGTACAGAAGCCTGCTCCCCTTCAAAGAAACTGCCTGCAGGACATCAAACTTCTCCTTAATCAATCTGAGCCAGGCTTGTTCTGCATTTTTTTTTTTCCATGGACTGCTGCGTCTGCGTTTACATTTGTTCAGACGTAAAACTGAGCTGAAGAATACATTCAGCGAGAGGACAATAACGGTGATGCCTGTTATCGTAATGTACTTGTCTGTGCTTAAGAAGACAGGGACTGAAAGGTCATCTGAAGGTCATGGCGAGCTGCTAGAGGAACTTTTTCTCCTGCTCTTAGGATGGATCTATCACATTCAAGATGCTTATTCTAAAAAGGGGAACAGTCTGTCGTTGTATCTCTAATGTAAGGTGCAAATTAACGTGAAATCCAATGTGTTTAGTTGAGAATGGCACATCGTTTTCAGAGTGTTTCATGAGTGAGAACTGAATGATAGAAATAAGGCGGTTAAAATAGAGACAAGTTGGTCCCAGGTGGATATATATTGTGATTAATATGAAAGACTTTAGCATGACTTTAAAACAAAATGTTTACAATATTACAAAACATCCAGACACCACTGCTGGTTGCGGGGATTTGCAAAAGACTGGTTGCCTTTCAGAAGTTTGTTTCATGCAGTTTTTGTTTTTACAGATATGGTCCTTTCTTAAAGGGAAAATGAACCCATGGATGCTCTTACACTGAAAATGTCAATATTAATATCAGAAGTTTGACCAAAGAGGGATTTCCATGCTCAGATGCATTCATTTAAATAGTTGTTGACACCTTAAAACCCCTCAGGTTTAGCTTGGGACCATTTGGTACCACATTTTTAGACAGCTGAAAAGCATACTTCCATTTAAGAAATCCTGGTTTGGGCATTAGTCAAATGAGTACCATTGATACGCAAACTAAATCAGTAAAATGCAACATTAAATATAATTTAACCAACAGTGTAAGCATTGAGGTGGATTTTCCCTTTAATTCATAAAGTTAGTTTATATATATATTACACATTATGACAAAGTGTCAGGCTTATAGATTGTTCCCTAGCTGATGAATTGATTAACAAGCTATCATGTTGAGTTCACTAACATGACACTTTTACTGAGATGTTTCTTGCTTTCATAGTGATGATATGTTTAAAGTGGAGAAATACTTTCTCAAGCCAAATTATTTTTCTTACCATAGGTCTCAGTCTTTAGTAAATGATGTGCATATTCTGTTTGTGCTTTTTAAACCCCACAGTAGCTATGGATACATTCACAGTATACTGCACAAGTGAATGTATTCAAGAGCTATTTCTTATTTTTGTATAACTTGATGATGTTGGTTGAGAAATATGCTGAACTCTTATCGATAAAACGCATTAGACAAGCCAGTCCAGTCGTCCCATCCTCGCCGCAATGTTTACACATTAGATTTAGACAATCCATTCATGGGACAATTCAAATATCAGAAAACCAGAAGAATGCTTTCCGGTTTACACGGTGGATGGTGTCGAAGCACACTGTAGAAAAATAAATGTCCATCTTAACATGGAAAGCTTGAATTGTACAGGTCTAGCTAATACGCTAACCAAACAATAGCGACCTACAGTCATTACTTAAGAGTACCAAATGTAAGAGTTTAAAATATACAAATTATGATTTAAAGTTTATTCAAGTAAAGAAAAACTGTGAAAAACATGAAATAAATTAGAACAATTTAATATTTAAACTGTATTTTGGTAATATTCGTAATATTCATTAGTTTGAATTATCAAAGGAATACGTTTCATAATTTGGGATAAAAGTTGTGACATCACAAAAGTACTTAACATTAGGTAGCTAGTGGGTGTTTCTCAATGTCGAGGACGCTTCCTTGGTAGGACATGTCTTCCGAGTCAGGTCCTTCAGAAGCGAGGCAAGAATCCTTCCTAGCCTCGGAAAACGAAGAATGGTCGGAACAGGCTAACAGGTGTGCAGGTGTGCGTCATATGAGAGGCCCCGCTTTAAATTTTCCGCCAAAGATTTTGGAAATTGGTCCGTGCGCAAAGCATTGTGGGGATTTTAAGACCGCGGAGGATACACATGTGCAGCCTCGAAATGTCCCGCAACGAAGGACGCCAGCCTCGGTAGAATTCCAAGCATCCTGGACATTGGAACAGTCCTTCGGCGGGACTCGATGACGTAGCATCCTTGAAATAGTGGCACATGTGTAGACTCTGCGGTCTTAAAATCCCCACAATGCTTTGCGCACGGACCAATTTCCCCAAATCTGTGGCGGAAAATGTAAGGCGGGGCCTCTCATATGACGCACACCTGCACACTTGCTCGCCTGTTCCACTCTTCGTTTTCCGAATGCCAGGAAGTATTCTTGCCTCGCTTCTGAAGCAAGTGACTCGGAAGACATGTGCTACCAAGCAAGCGTACTCGACATTGAGAAACACCCCCAGTATCTACAGCTAGAAATCTAGCTAGCTCTCTTGTTCTACATACAGTTACTTATAAACTACTGCTTATACACGACTGTTACGTTAAATATTCATAAGCAGTATGCCGCATACTGTAGTCTGAATGTGAAAATCTTACTAAGATCATCAGTCAAAATCTAAAGCATGTCTTTAGATGACAGTTTTTACTTGTTTCTTTATTAAGATGGACATTTTTGAAGTACCAGTGTGCTCACTTTGACAGGCCATCATTCTTGTCCGCTAGCGTCTGTATGTGACCCGTCTTGGGAGATCAATGGTGTGATTTTACTTTAAGTGCTAAAACTCGGTATCGTGTATCTGAACCTTCAGATACATCAAAGAAAGGTTTGAACAGTGATGCTCTAAAGTTAGGCACTGATGGAGCAACTGAAGAGGAGCTTCTTATGTGGGGGGGGACGAAGAGAGTGTATAAATTGTGAATAAACTTTGAAATTCAATCTATCATTGTTTTGTTTTACAGTTTTTATTTCATTTAGTGCCTTCACAACAATACCAAACATAGCACACTTGAATACAAGCAAGAATGGCAAACTGTAAATATTTAAGGCTACATGAATTACAATAGTGATACGCTATTTAAAGTGGACCTATCATGCTATATTTGAATAATATAGTGTAGGACCATACCTATATAAGGCATATTTATACTTTTTTTTTGCAAAATACCAAACAGATCATGCATTTTAGCCATGCCTCATTTTGCTCAATTTGACATTTTTTAGCTCTGTGTTTGTAGGGGCAGATAAGGGCAGAACAGCACCACCTACAGGCCTGGCATATGTACTACAGCGTCTCCAGCGCTTTCGAACGGCAATGGCCGTGGCTGTCTCCTCCTGATTGGTGGAGTTGGCCCAATAGCCGTAGCGCCACCGTCCTGACGTCAGGACAGTGTTCAAATCTGGATCAGTTTTTATCAGGTCCGTTGGAGCCCCTTTTTTAGAGATTTGGGTATGGAGGAAAATAGAGAGGGTTGTGTTTTCTGACACTTGGTGAGTTCCCTGGAACACCGGGGACACATATTCATGTATAAAAGACGTACAAAAGTGCATTTTGCATGATAGGTCCCCTTTAAAGGGACTGTATAGTAGTTGTTAATGACAAAACAATAACATGAAAAGTCAGAGAAAGTGGTGGGAGAAGTTGATCACAAGTAGGACTCGACTTAAAATGTGTATGCAAAAAAAGTTCTTAAAAAAATGTATCCTAATGTAATTGTTATTTTTGTTAATGATTTATTAAAATGAAAAGTAAATAAAAGTAATCAATCAAATGTAATGATGTATAAAGTACACTATTTGACAGTTTTAAAGTAGCAGGATTTACTAAACACCTAATTAAAGACCTGAGTAAATGTACTTCTTAGTCACATTGCAGCACTGGAAAAATGAGACATCCTGCTCATAGTGTATTTTAAAACTTTAACACAATCCTGCACATTCTTCTGTGGTGCTGCCACTTCTGGCCAGAGCCCACTGGTTGCAATACTGGTCAGCTATTTTCAATAGGAGATGATTATCTTCTTCCATAGGCTTCGTTCTGAGGTTTCCTTCTGCACCAACCAGCGTGTGGATAAACACCACCAGAAAAACCACATGCAGACTCATTCCTACTTCTAAGTAGGCTTGTATAAAACATACATGAGAACAAACAAAAAAAACATTCAAAAACAGAAGCAGCGGTTCAGACAAAATTCTATTTTGTATGTGTTTACTTGCACATCAGTCACTGTTTTTAAAATGGTTATTTCCCAGTTTACACAAGTTGTACATTACGGTAGAATGGTTGTTTTTGCAATTCAGAACAAGATGTACATTGTGGTATATGCAATGTTTGTTTCTGAGATTCTGTACAAGTTGTACATCACTATATGTACAAATCTATATTTAGCGTTACTGGTAGAGCGTTGCACTAAGAGCAGGAGATCCAATGGCTCCTACAATAATGTGCACTATAATGGGCTCTGGAGAAAAGTACTCGCATATTCAAATGCACAAAACCGTCTACTCTCAGGATTGTTATTGTTTTATTAATATTTGTATTGTTATTTCATAGCTTATTGTCCTATGTTAAGAGCAGCCACACAAAACAGCGCCTTACAGGAATAGATAGTAGAAGCTGTTTTAAACTCAATAAGATAAGAGGACAAAGTGTGCGGTGAATATGCTGCAATCTAAGGGGAACACAAAACTCTCAGGGGGTAGGTTAGAGAAGAGTTTAATGAGAAACACTGCTGATTCTGTGTTTAGAAAAAGATGGGAGCTTAAGAATTTTATATCAGAAAAAATAAGAAAAACTTCATCCTATAATGGTGATAACACTCCTGATGGAAAAAACGTGAAATTCACTATGGGACAAATAAATACATATCATTTTGAGATCATTTTCATTGAGTATTTACATTTTTGTGCCACTCTTATACTAGTGCATTTCAGAAGGAACCATTGTAATGTTTACCCCCTCTTTCCAAGCTGTAAAAACCATGCATTTTACATAAATACAGTATCAAATCTTAATCTTAAACTACTTGCTATTTTTACAAAAGTAAATGAATGTACTGTACAGTAAGAAAAAGTTGTCATTGTTGTTGTTTGGATGTACTGTATATCCATAAACATTAAGGTTACTCATGGTAGGCCTATACGCTACAATTAGTTTTCACTCGTGTCTCACAATGGGACCTTTCTCTATGGAAAGGGGAAAAAGCAACTTTATACATAGCCTACCCAACCGCACAAACACGCTAAACTCTTTTACAGACATTTCTTGTTATTTCTCAATTGACTAAATGACTTTCCACGCTCCGCACTGAATTTAGTCTGCCATGTGCGACTTCCACACACGTTACTTTGTGGTTGTGCAGTCTGATTGTGTTTATATTTGGGAAAGAAATGATAGGGTACCCAGCATGGTTGTGAGCTAGAACTGCCTTTTAAAAACAAGCAGGAACTTGAAGGCTTTGGGAGGCTCGTTTACATGAGCACACTTTCTGAAAACTATACTGTGTGCAGAGAAGAAAATGTTCTATAAGATGAAATTGACATAATTTGGTTCTTCTTTATGTGGGACAGGTTGTAGTTTTTATGACATATCACCATGATGAATACTGTAAACAGTTTGTGGTCCCTGCCTCCTCCAGACAGCTGATGGAGCCTCCTCCTCCTCCTCCTCTTCCTCTTCCCAACATGAATTCTTTGCTCGGCCAATAAATAGCAGGCGGGACTGTCAGCTCGAGCAGTCAATCTCTCCTCCTCTTACACTCAGCATCAGTCTCACACCATGTGGACCCAGGTCAGCGCTCTGCTGCTCCCGCTCGCCTGCTGCCTTTGGTCAGCCGAGGCTCAGACTGCGAACAGACAAAGCATCTGGAACGATCCCATTCAATTCAACACCAAGGCCAAGGACCAGTGCACCATGACCATCACGGGTCAGGGGGAATACACACGGCTGAGGCTGATGTGCCAGAGCCGGCAGCGCTCCTACTGGTGCGAGTACATTGGACGGCCTCACACCTGCGGCAGCTACAACAAGAACCCTCGCCATTACTTCGTGCAGATGATGTGGGGCCTCAGAAAGCTGCACAACGCCTGCCTGGGGCCGAGGCAGATCAAACCCCACATGTGCAGGAAGGCAGGCGATGAGACTCAAATGGTCTTCTCAACCGGTTCCTTCTCCAGAACATCACCGGAGGCTCCAACGAGGGCAAAACCAGCCGCACAGCCTGCCAGACCTCAACCTCGCCCTCGGCCAACAAGACCCGATTCTGCAAGGCAACCCAAGGCAAAGCCCACAGCGAGTACCAATTCACAACCTGTGACGCCACCTGTGGAGAGCAACGCTAAGAGGCTGGCTCAGCAGTACTGCTGGAGGTCGCTTCGAGGCATCTGCTCCTACTTTATTGGCTTGGTTCGGAAAAACTGAGGAAGGTAAGCAGCAGTAGTCCGGGTCCCTTCAATAACCCAAACTTATATTATGTTGTTTTATGACTAAAGAGAGAGTACTTTCATGAAAATCCTGTGTATTTCAATTCAAAAATTGCCTCCAGAATGATTTTTTCTTTTTTTTCTTGCTTAACACACTACTGATCCAAATAATGTACAACTGAAAGAATCAAATATTTGCAATTTTATATGCATTTTTCCCCTCTGTTACATTCACAGATTTACAATGAAGATAACTTCAACTGTCTGATTATACCAGCCATCATTGGAGGGAAAACCCGAGCAGCAGTCTGGTAGAAATTGTGGAAGAACTGTAGCGCCCTCTCCAGAGGAAGAGACGGTACTGCTGTGACTGTCTGAAGCAGGATTTCTGTGAACCTTGAATGCATCATTTTACAGATGTCACTGCTTGGAAAAACTCTACTACCGGTCTTAATTGGGTAAAAAAAACAAAGTTGTTTATGGTTATATATGATAAGTATGAAATGTAAAGTTTGACTTGTGAGAAGGTTTCTCCTGCTGCAAAAACATTCTCAACAACACATTTGCCTTACTGGTTTCACTCATTTGTTTTTAAGCTGTTTACCTATACGTATAATCTACGTGCATCACTTAATATTATATTGTTGGGAAAGAGCAGAGGTCTGAAAAGATAGTGATTTATGTACTGTTGTATTTGAGGGAATATATAATGAATGTGAAAATATCTTTATTAAATAAATAAATATTATGATCCATTATTCTGTGTTGATCAACTTTTTTTTTTCTTGCTTATTTTGATGAAAAATGTGTGAGATTTGATAGCAAAAGAGTGTCAATATTGAAAACAGCTGTATGTGATATATATATATATATATATAAATACAAATATCATAATGTCTTAACCCCCCTATTGTCTTCGTTTTCCCCCCTTACTTTGGTGTTCGCGGTCAAATTTGACCGGTCCTGTTTTAACTGCTATTACATTAACACAAAAACCATTAATCATCACCAAATTTCATTTAACACCCTTTCAAACTGTAAATATTGTATCAGACTACTGGTATACATGAAAAACTGCAGTAAATATACAAAGAACAGACACTGAACATGTATCGCGTGTGCCAGGTGTGTGTGTGTGTGTGTGTGTGTGTGTGTGTGTGTGTGTGTGTGTGTGTGTGTGTGTGTGTGTGTGTGTGTGTGTGTGTGTGTGTGTGTGTGTGTGTGTGTGTGTGTGTGTGTGTGTGTGTGTGTGTGTGTGATCCGGATGGTTACTAATTCCTTTTCTTTATGGCGGTCATGATGGGAACACCATGGGTGTTACAAAGTTGACTAAATCATCCAAAATTCAATGAAAGTGGTGATCAGCAATATGTTCAAATGTCTACTGTGAAGGATATCATAAAGCCTTAATGCAATCGAATGTAAAACAAAAAAGTTATGATTGATGAAAGTAGTAAATCGGTCAAATTTAACCCGAAGACAACAGGAGGGTTAAGGATCTTCATCCTCATCACCGCATTGCAACACCACATTTGACCATTAGATGTCACTGTTGCTTCAGTTAAACTGATCACTAAGTTCAATCAGTGATTTTCTCCTACAGCAACATCTGGCTCTTTCAAGATATTTCCAGTATTCATCTTTAGTAAACTGTTCTAACAGAGGGTGGAGTTACAGTTTGAAAAGACTCAGAGTTCATTTGCATTTGCTTGCCTTAAAAGTGAAGTTATCGTAAAAGCAGCTGGGACTTCTTAAAGCAGGCAGCACAATCTACAAAAACAGAACATTTTAAGTCTTGAAATCTCACATAACGCTGGTAGGTGTCTCCAAAAGTGTTAAGTCTTGAATGTGCTCGATGAAGAACGAAGACAGAGAGAAATGAGGTGTCAAAGTGCATTAAACAGTAGACATGTAGTCTACTCTGACACAGATTCAATACAGTTTGGTTGCAAAGCAGGATCTGATTTGGTGCTTCTTTTAAAGTGACTTTACCAGAACAATTTCCATTATTTGATTAAATCAACATTTTACAAATCTGCATAAGAAGCTTTGATAATGGTTTGGGGTAACACAGTCCTTACAAGCTTTATCAGAATAGCAGGATATCTCTAAAGGACCACCCTTTCATTATATGACTATGAACTCAAGCCGTCCAATCATGCATTGTGTGTGTGAAGGGGAGGGCTGATTCTGCAGCAGTGTACTGTGGCTAAAGGTACATTAAGCAAAGCGACTCTCAGCTCTCAGGTGTTGGAACTTTAAACCCAAGTTTGCTCTGAAAACTTCAGGTAAGTTTAGCCATCACTGTTTTTATCTGAGCTCACTCTGTAATGATCCCTGATTACTAATCTCTTTGGATTTAGTATAGTATTAGGATTTATAGTGCGTGCTTGTTCTTATAACACTCCTATGGTGAGTTCAAATGCTCTATATGCTACAATACAAATCCATTTCTCATTATAATCACTATAAACGGTGTGTTGGTGCACTAAGAGTAGTTGTACTTGTAGTATTAACTTTCTAAACAATCACTAAATTCATGTCACATGTTCATTTGTTTCATATATTTCTTGCACTGATACCTTTCATTCCAATTCGTATTTATTTCTTAATAGCTTATTTTTTTCCATTTTATTTTGTAATCTAAAATCCAATTCACATTCGAGACTTATAGGCTATGTCTTCATGTTTGTTTTATGTCTTTCCTAATGCATTTGGTCTTAAATTGTCTTTTAAATTGCCTAAAAAGATGCTATTCTAGAACAAAACTTTGGATGGAAAACTAGTTATTTCCGCGTAACACAAGGGTCTAATAGAGGATTATAAAGATTATTATTAAGAAAGGGAAAGTAAGGGATTGTGGTCATATCTAAATCCTAATTTATCCTCTTGCAGGATTTTGTGTGCTGCTTTCATGGCTCTCCTCACCAATGTCGCCATCCTGCTGGTCCTGGCTTGTATTTCCCATCAGCTGATGTTGAGCAGCTGCCAGAAAACCCATGGACGGCGGGGAAGAGAAACAGAGCGAGGACAACACAAGTTGAAGGTCAGCCGCCAAACTAAATCTGTCTCTGCACAGCCCATCAAGGGAAAAATGGTGACCAAAGACAAGTCTGAGTGCACCTGGGCAGCAACGGGTGAGGAGGTCTTCATCCTCGGTGTCAGCTGCAAGAAGGGGGGGCGGAGCTTCAGCTGTGAATATGTCGCCAATCCGACCGTCTGTCCAGAGTACGTTTCAAATGTCAAACTTTACTGGAAGCAGATCGCCCGGTCGCTGAAGAAGCAGAAGACTCTGTGCAAGGACAGTAGTACATTGATCAGGACAGGTTTGTGCAAACGAGCTCCCCGAGAGGCTCATTTCAGAATCCATAACACCCCGAGGAAAACTGACAAGCCATCAGATCGACAGCCTGAACCCAAAACTGTCAAATCCTGTCAACCTCGTCACAAGAAGCTGGCGGAGCAGCACTGCAACGACTCCTGGTCCAGTTTCTGCACATTCTTCTTCACTATGGTGCAGGATATTGATTGCTGAGAAAGTGAAGAACTCAAATAGATTCAGCTATATATGCAATCACGTTAAGACCTGTCTCTATTAAACATTCTTTATAGATAATTGCTGCTTGTATAGACATATTTCTCCACATGTTGTTAATGTTGATTCTACACATCAATAAACACTTTTCTATCTATTCTCTAATGATTGTTCTGTGATCTGGTCAATTTGGGCGAAATCTACAGTTCTGATTACTATGGCAAGTTTTGTTTCTAAACATCAGATTTGTATTTCATTTCATTTTAAAGGAATTTATGTTCCATCAACTGTATCCTTCAATCAAAAACAAGTCTTAGTCAAGAGAGCCTCATCTTGTCCTTTTCAGCTGCAACAATTAGTGCAAAATTACAAAACAATGAAAGCGTAGTAAAGTGAACATCTTTGGTCTTAGACAAACCATTTTCTGACAATTGAAGACCAAACTATTAATCAAATAATCTAGAAAATAGTTGAATGAACAATGAGATTATCTCTAGGTGATATCTTTAATCTAATTACATACAAATAAATGTGTTTCCCAGCATACCCATTTCATTTCAACTCCTTAATATCTAAGCTCTTGTCTCTTTTTTCCAAATGCGTGTGCAGAGTCCTGCTGAACGTATTGTGGGAGATTAGAAGTTTGAGCATGTTGGGTATTTGCACAGTAATTTAACCAGAGGGAGTGAGATTTTTTAGAAAGCCGTGGCCTGCATACTTTGGCACTGACAAGCCTCTGAATTCACACACGCTCAACTTGCAAAATCAAGGTCAAAGGGCAGCAGGTTATTGGATTAGATAATGATAATAAACATTATTTTTAGCAATTATAACAGGAACATTATACATTTCCACTGCATTTTACATTTGAGAAAAATACAATAAATGTGACATGTCTTTCCTAAAATTGCAATAGCAACCAAATCTATTTAGAGTATCAAAAGTAATAGTACTCATAATGCAGCGTGGCTACTGTCAGCATCATTATATTATATAACCGGATCAGCATTATCAATTCAATAATATGTAAGCAGCAGTACTTAAATGTTTCTGCATTAGTCAAATGTTAATAACTACGCTACGTTAAAGCCTTGGTAATTTCATTTGTAACAATGGATTCAGTTTCATTAACGTATTATATCTGCAGAATTAAAATAAATAATAATAAGAGAAACTCTCGCTCTTAAATATAACTGAGTTAAGATATCAAATCAATATTGTGGAGTACAGTATCGCAAAATGTTACTTAAGTACAGTCCTTGAATAACGTGCTTAGTTACTTTCTATATCTGACAATGATAAAGTAGATTCATTCATTCATTTTTTCAGGGGTTAAGATTCACTTGTATCAGCTATTCATGTGTGACTTAATCTTATTTTTTAATCAGACTTATTAGTGACCTAAGGGTTACTTCGAAAAACGTGAATTAGCAATACTCTCTTGTCCCTTAACAGCTTAATTTGAGTTAGCCTTCAGAATGAAATGTATCCCATTTATATAAGTCTTATTTCTATCATTGGTTGGGAAAATGAGGGCAAGAAACAAGAAAAAAAAGTCCTGAAGTTAAAAGAACAAAATGTGATATCAGATCAGGATTTCGCTAAATCATGGACACGTGTCAGTACAAATGTTCACTTCAGAGATCACAGAGAGACATTTTTAGGGAAGAGGCAGACATACTGTCTCCACCCACAGCTCCAACAGACCAGAACAGAGCAGCCTCGGGGACGTGCTGTGATTTGAGAAAGGGGAATGACTCATTATTCTTGATGATTTTAGCTTCATCTCCA